CAGCCGTACAGTGCGGAGAGTGATACAGTAAGATTACCACTGAAGTTGTTACCTCAAAAAGGAGTTTAACTCTTCTCAAATAAAGTTTACAAAGATACAAAGTATATGGCAAAATACTTTAGTTCTTGTTGAATTAATTTAAGGTCTCTACATACCCACTCCTATCAATTAAAACGGAGAGTACACTGTGAACCGAGAATAAAGATTCATGAGTGTTGCACGAGTCAATACCAGAGAAGGTTGACGGTGGAGAGTAGATGAAATTGGTCGAATAACTTCATGCCTTCAAGAGGTAGGACAAACTTGTGTAAAACTATCAGAAGTAATACTGCTAACTTGAGGTAGAGGTGTCGTCAGTTAAGAGGTCAAGAGGTAGAACAAACTTGTGTGAAACTATCAGAAGTAATACTGCCAACTTGAGGTAGAGGTGTTGTCAGCTAAGTTGGCACTTGAATATACATCGTTTGCAGGGGCGGACTGGGATGAAAAAAGTTACCGGGAAATGTACAGCCAAACTGGTCCACAACTGAAATGGGGGTGGGGGGCACCGCCCAGAGAAGGGGGGGTCCGGGGGCCCTCCCCCGGAAAATGTTGAAAAATAAGCACCTCACGAAAGCATTTTTAAGCACGAACATACGCAATTAGAGTGATGACATATTTTTAAAGTTGGCTGCGACCATGGAGCATAAAGCGGCCCTGTGGAACAATGGAGGCCCGTGGGGCCTCACCCTATTTTATGAGAAAGTGACCAGTTCTTTAAGATTTTATCCCATTTCTCCACATATTCCTAGACTATGGAGATAAAGATAGAAAGAAAGAGAGAAAGAGAGTAAGAAAGAGAGAAAGAGAGTAAGAAAGAGAGAAAGAAAGACAAATAAAGAGAAAAATAAAACAACACAGTTAACCGACCGGCCCAAAATACCAACCGGCCCACCGGGATTTTTCCCGGTGTTCCCGCCTGCCAGTCCGCCCCTGATCGTTTGCAAGCAACTATAATGTAGTCGTCCGACAGGAATCGAGGATTGACTGTGCTGCCGTCAATCCCCTATTGATGTTGGACAATAGCGTCGCAATTGCTTGCAAGTGGAGTGTAAACAAGTGCCAACTTGGCTGACAACACCTCTAGAGTGCAGAGTAAACAGGTATTTAAGAAAAAATTAGAGTTGAAACAATGGAAACAAGACCAATCCACACAGATCAGTCATTGCGCATCTTTTTAAAAGCCACTTCCCTGCCCGGCCCTAACCCGGCGGAGGGTTGCTGTTGGGATGGATCTACTTATTTAGAGCTGATCTGCTAGAACCAAGCATCAAAACATGATTCTGTTACCAACGCAACTGGCCCATTGAATAAAGAAAGAGAAACGATCAGGTGAAACAGTGGCTAACCTATCAATTCGCAGGAAGGTCTAGGTGAGCTTTCAAAATGATGAAATTGGCCTCATTATCACAGCATGACCACATGCAGACAAACTAACTCTTTCCTTCAGAGATTAAACGACATGAAAGTGAAAGAAGGAGAGAGTTACAGGACATATGGGGAATGAGGAAGTTACAATTCTTGAGAAGGAAATTCAGGCAGGAAATACCTGGCAATGAAGTCCGAACTAAGCTGATCATTAGATGTAGCGTTGTAACAACAATATTCACAGTTCTTGCTATTTGCAGGGGATTGGGAAACAAAACCTGTAAAACACTCTTCACTATGCTCAGAGGTTCCTTCTTTAATGTTAGCTTCAGTCTCACGCACAGGAATCGATTGTTGAAACTCTTGTCAGCATGCCCAGGCCAAGGGGATCAAGGTCTTCCAAGCGCAAAGCTCACACATTCCTCATCTTGTCCTGGCGTACCAACAGAGTTTCAAGAACCGGTTTGCATTCATTGATTGACTAGATAAGATAAGAGGAGATGAAGAGATACATCTATTACATCTTGGTCCATAGTAGAGTCTCCAAGAAAAGTCCAGGGACAGACAAAAAGACATGTTCCGTCACTGGAGTCTTGTGACAATTCTGTTGTGTTGTAACATCGTAAGTTATGGGAACATCACTACAATCTCAAAGAGGAATCAGTAGTATAAGCTTCCTCGATTTAGTTGAAATAGAGGCGATTGAAAGCAATACCGGAAAAACGAATCATACACTGATACCTATACATAAAGATCCACTCAGAATTTTGGTTTCTCCGCACTTCCCATGGCTTCTTCTTGATTTTCGTTGGCCCTCCGGTTCAATCTTCGTCTCGAATTGATGAAATACTTCTAAATGAGCAAAGAAGATGACAGTTTAAACGGCTAATAAGTAAATAAATTAATATTAATTGAGCGATCCAGAATTCGGGCACCGGCACCGGCGTGATAGAGCGGGCAAGGGCATGCATGGCCGCCATGTTGAATCCTACAGCTGGACAAATATCGAATATCGCATCGAATGCGATTATTCGAGTATCGCACTATCGATTCTTTACCATAGCTTCTTACGGGGACACAGCTATAGTCGATCGTTCAGGAAGTGTGGCAAGAAATCCGCCTCAGCCAGCCTCAGCCACTGGACTCCGTTCTTCTCGCATCGGCTCACTGAGGAGAGAAGCCGCGGCTAGAATTCTTACGATCAGCGACCTTTCTCCTCATTTTACTTTTAAACTTTCAATCTTAGAGGAAAATGTCATAGGACCCGAAATAACGGCCGTAAAATTTCCTATCGGTTCATTACACAAAATTGTCGAAAAAATAATTTTCGTGACCAAAAATAAGGGTTTTAAAAAGGGCGTAGGCAAAAATTCTTATGATCAGCGACCTTTCTCCTCATTTTACTTTTAAACTTTCAATCTTAGAGGAAAATGTCATAGGACCCGAAATAACGGCCGTAAAATTTCCTATCGGTTCATTACACAAAATTGTCGAAAAAATAATTTTCGCGACCAAAAATAAGGGTTTTAAAAAGGGCGCAGGCAAAAATTCTTATGATCAGCGACCTTTCTCCTCATTTTACTTTTAAACTTTCAATCTTAGAGGAAAATGTCATAGGACCCGAAATAACGGCCGTAAAATTTCCTATCGGTTCATTACACAAAATTGTCGAAAAAATAATATTCGAGACCAAAAATAAGGGTTTTAAAAAGGGCGCAGGCAAAAAATGTTATGATCAGCGACCTTTCTCCTCAGTTTACTTTTAAACTTTCAATCTTAGAGGAAAATATCATAGGACCCATAATAACGGCCGTACAATTTCCTATCGGTTCTTTACACTAAATTTTCGAAAAAATGGGAGAGGCGATGGAAAGGAATACATACAAGAAAAACGACTCGTACCTGTAAAAATCCACTCAGAATTTCGGTTCCTCCGCACTTCCCATATGGCTTCTTCTTGATTCTCGTTGGCCCTGGGGTTGAAGCTTCGTCTCGAATTGATGAAATCCTTCTAAATGAGCAGAGAAGATGACAGTTTTAACGGCTAATGATTCAATAAATTAAAATTAATTGAACGATCTGGGGACCGGTCGTGAATGCCTGGCCCGCTCATCGCCTTATACTAACTTGTTGCGTTGCGGCTATTCCACTCGTTTCTGGGGATTTCGTGTTAAACCAAGAAATTCCTGAGTTATTTTGACCGTAGAATTCATTTCTGACCTTACTTTTTTCAATAAAATAACGCAATTACACAATTTTACGCGTTCTTTCAAACTTTCCGGAGAAACAAGTTACTCAAAGATAAATTTTACTCGTTCTTGTGGGCATTTCGTGTTGAAACTCGGTATCCTAGAGGACTTTTGATCGTAGAATTCATTATTGACCTTACTTTCATTGATACAAACAAAAAAAAAAAAAATTAGCTGAGAAGTGAAAAGAAGGCTGTACGAATAAACATGGAAAATTTTCCCTCCAAAACATTAGCAGTTATTTATGAGAGCCAGACCCAGTGTGCATTGAAGTACCATGTAGACCGTGAATTCATTAAATAACAAATATCGCATTCATTAGCAATGGCCATTTGATTAATAGTTGGAATAATACACAAAAATGGTGAACCGCGGCTCAGAATGAAACTCGGTCATTGCGCCTTTGAATGCTTTCGTTTACCTACTAGTAATCCCTGGTCATATGGCAGCATTCAAACTTAAAATTTTAAAGGAAACGATCAAAAATTAAAATTAAAGTACTCACACTTTACAATTAAGATTCCTAATCAGCTATTTCTTGCGTCCATCATTAAGAATTTTATCGATCGATTTAAGCACAGGAACAAAAACACATGAAGACTCAGCGCGCCTCACATTATCAAACATGCAAGTATAAGCTTCCATCATTTAAAATTTGAAATACATAGTGACATTACTCAAGAGCTTACGTCCCAAAAAGCACTTTTATAATTAAACTAATTAAAATTGCTGAAGTAAATGATTACGATCGGAGAGGCATTTATGTTAACTGAAGTTGATTTAGTTGAAAAGTCCGTAAACTATTACCGCGGTTACAGCAGCCATGTAGGCGTAGAACCATCTCGTCGGTGGCTCCCGTGGCTGATCCTACGCAGGGAGCCGATCCGCCGATCGCGACTGCTCGGCGCACTATGGTCCACAGACTGGATTTAACGGAACTTTATTCGTTAATAATGCAATGCACCGTTTTAAAAGCTGATGTAACTATGATTTTTGGGTCGCTGATTTCATTGTACATCTTAGTTTAACAAAATCTAAACATCCTGACCGAGACACTTGACTTAAAATGTGATTTCTGACGTTTTCAAGACTCTAGATTTTTCCCCCTATTCTAACGACGAAGAACATGTATAAACATTTTTTTAAAACAAATGTCTCTCGGTGAAACTTTGATATGTTGCTCAGCTAGTCATTCTGATTAAAAGCTCCTACAGCCCAAAGAGATCCCATGTGCGGTTTTCGAGGTATTCGCCGTTTTATATGCGTGAACGGAGGTCCCGCCGGCCGGACCATTGTGCGGCACTACTCGTACCCTTCCCTTCCAGCCCACTCCGGCCCCTCACCGCTTCTCCGTCACCTCGAGACTCGGACACAACCAACTACGCTCACGTCACTCATGTATTGGCATCAATGGCACCGGCTCCGGTAGTAGTAGTCTTATGACCATTTCAATTTCATCCAGTTTTACTAGGGTGATTTCCCATTAGGATGGTGCGGCGTTCTTTTCCTGGACCCACGGTAGAGTTGTTCAATTGTTCATCTGTATTTCAAGCTGCTAAATCCGAATATGACCTCGGTTTTTTTTATCTCTCTCCAGTATACTCCGATAATGCCAATTTTTCCGAGCCACTTGCGTTGAACCTTTTCCGGACTCAAAGTCTGCTAAAAATACATTTTAAAAATGTTTTAGATGTGTGATAAATCGATTCTTATGTATTTTGACTCGCTAAACTCGAACATGACCTTTGATTGTCACTATCACCTCTCATTTTGGCGGAAAAATCGGTTTTCCTCGGAGAACGAGTTTTTTTTAGTATTTTTGTGACGATTTTCCCATTCTGAGGAGTTTTAGAAATTTTCCGAGATCCTCTACAGGTCTGTTCTGATGTCTTTTAAGATCCATCGAACCCGAGTTTGACCTCTACTTGCCTCTGACAAAGCCTCGCTATCCTGGGTGCCACACACGGGAGGGATGAGGCGCCCAAAAGTGAGGCTCTGCTGCGCGCGCA